TGCCTAGTTAAATATTTTTTTTTAATAAAAGGCACTCCTTCGATATAAAGTAGTTTTTGACCGAAATTAAAATGTGTCAGTTTGTCACTTTCGCGAGGTTGGAGTAAAAACATCTTAAACTACTTAAGACATTGGCTCACATCTAGGTTGTGCCTTTAGATGTCGAGAAAATTAACAACTAAGGAAGAATTTTTCACTTCTCGTTGACTTTTCAAAACCCAAACCCCGGCCTGGTCTGTTTCACAAGCGTTCCCGGAAGTCTCGCGATGTTGCGCCTGTGGGTTTTAGAAACTGTGATTGCAGTCTGACTGAGGTATGTGGTGAACAAGAGCAGCGGAAGAATTCAGTTTGAGTCGTCAGGCAGACATGTTCCATCCGGGGCCTTTGATCTTATGTTGCAGTACTACAGTATCTCCACTAGAGGTCATAGTGCTCTACTACAGAAGCACATCACTTTCACTGAACCCTGAATGCTTATAATAGTGAGTGGCAAAGTCATTTATATGAACATTTGTGACAAAATCACTTCTACGCCACACGCACTTACCTTACTCCCTTCGCTTGGACACACATGCTGCGAATTGCATAATGCCACCATTGAAGAGATTTTTCAATGTAAGCTACAATGACTTTTTGACATAAAAATATATTTTTAGAATTAATTGTAATTTAAAAAACTAGATGAACCACTAAGTGTCTTACAGTAATGTTACGGTTAGATAAAAAAATATGTATATATTCATGAGATTGAATATGGAGTTCCATAAAGCATTCTGAGGAAATTAACTGAGGGTTAATGTGCACATGTGGAAGCAAGCCTAATCAGGATTGCAGAGCACCATGTGCATAAGTAGAAGGTGTGTGTGTGTGTGTGTGTGTGTGTGTGTGTGTGTGTGTGTGTGTGTGTGTGTGTGTGTGTGTGTGTGTGTGTGTGTGTGAGAGAGAGAGAGAGAGAGAGAGAGAAAAAAAACTGGTGCATGCCCAGTATGTCAGCCACTTGTGTTATACTTGATCACACTATTTTAAACCCACAAATACCTCTAATGCTATGTAATCCTTGCTCTCTCTTCCTATCGTCCTCCACTGGATCCCAATCTCAGAAAGGATGGACTGAAGGGGGGAGAGAGAGAGAGAGAGAGAGTCAAGTTCTGTTGTAATCTTGTAAAGTGGTCAGAGCAGGGTGAATGAGTCAGAACCACTATGACATTTTAACAACATGAAGCGCTGTCCAATCTGAGAACAGACAGTCAGACTCTAGCACATTAACGTATCTTGTATCTTTATGAAGAAAGTGCAAAATGTAGTGGTTTTGGTTGATTTGTCTCGAGGTTCATACTATACATTATAACACAGGTGATCGACAGTACAGGCCAATGTCTTCCATGAAAGGTATTTATGCTTGGGGTACTTGGCTAGATGCCATGTCCAGAGGTCAAGCTAGGTAGGTGGCCACAGTATGCCAGAGGAGCAGAAAGCAAGATACATGAGTGTTGAAGGAACTGCATAGGGATTATCATGGTGAATGAGATTACATTAGATTACATCCATCTGCCTGATGGTACCACTTGACTCCACCACTCCCTTACTTCCTTTTTCCCCAGAGCCTCACCCTATTGGGCAGCTTCGTCGTTATACAAAACTAGTTTGTATCAGCCAATCATTGTTTGATTACTGTTGACATTACAGAACTCATTGTGGAAGTATTTGTCCATTGACTTGTGAATGATTCTGTTACAGACGTCTCCTTTTACTCAAACTGTCAAGACTTAGAATACATAAACTTCCTCTTATGTCAGTGTTATGTCATCCTGTAGACTAGAGGGTATTCTTTTGGACCGTCTTAGACTCAATCTGTTTGTCTGAATGACTGATTGACTGACTAAAGAAGGACAGATGAGCGCAGATAGGCACTGAAATGTGAAACATAATCTGAGGTGAAATTATATGAAATGATGACAGGGAACAATAATAGACATATCTGCTTGTTTCCTTCAATCACATTTATTGATTTCTCTAATTTTTTACAATGAACATCAGCAAAAAAATTATATACATACAATAATATACATAAAGATAATAGAATTATCAGCCATTTTCATTTTGGGTGAGAGACTATCCCAAAGTGTTTCAAAGGATTTCTGCCTTAGATGATTTTTAATAAGCTGTCTGATTCAAGATTTTCAGGGACATAACGTTTTTTGCTTCAGAAGTGAGTTTGAAACACTAGTTTGCCACATGCAGTGGTCACAGGCAAGTATTGTGCTTTTTGGGGATAAATCCTTTGCAGTTACTGTAAATATGCAGCTTTCTATTGAATCAGTGTAACAGAAAAGGATACCCTTCTTCATCTCATAATCTTGGGGCCCATATAAAGACATGCACTGTTCATCTAAAAGAGTAGCCAGTAGAGAATGACTGAGAAAGAGTGCTGCTTTCAACAGGGCAACCATTCAATACTGCAAGGTTGAAAACAAGATAGAGAAAGAATGGGTCAGACTGAAAATAAACAAAAAATTGTCCTTGGTATGTGTTTAACCGTCAAATTTTCTTTAGTCTCACTCAGAATTCTGAGATTACAGGTCGAAAATCTACCAGGTAGCACCCCTGTCTTATTACAGTACAAAGCTAATACATTCTTTCCTCTTTACAACAAAATAACAATAAAAATACTTTATCTCTTTTTGAAAACAAAAACTTTATGTTTATATTGTTCATTCTTGAAGACGCGCATGAGCAAACATAACTATATATGTGAACGTAATATTTCCATGTTCTTTCTCTCTTCTTCCTCACACTCTTGATGATTCATGTTACTATACATTTGTTATAAAAACAAATAAAGAGAGTCGCACACTCTATGTATGAACAGTCTGCGACTCTCTTTATTTGTTTTTATAGCTTACAGTTTATTCACCGTTAGTCAGCACCTCTACACTAAATAATGTTCTCTGGTTGTGCGCCAGCTCATGCTTTTTATTAGACTATACATTTGTTAGCCATTCCAAGAATAAAAACATCATACAGCCACACATGAAATAAATATATTGCTTTTTGAAGACATCTCCAAATGATCATATAAAAACAGATACATGGAGATATTATTAAATATAATTTGGTGACACTGGGGAATAACACGATCTGTCCACCAGGAGGCACTGTTGTCATTTAGTGAAACCTGCTCCTTCTGTGTGTATCATTATGTAAGAATAGGACGGTTCATTAAATGACATTCATACATCATTCTGAAACACGTTTTAAATGAAACCCTTTCTCTTACAGAGATCTGTGGTCTGGTAGTTGCAGCACGATTTTTTACATACTATTAAAATTCTCATGAATATCTTTGGTTATACGGAATGTGGCAGGACTAATCTTGCATGTAGAAAATATAAGCATTAATTTTGCAATTGGAATATATCCACATATATGTAAGTGCGTGGCTACACACACCATGGATTCACACCATGGATAGTATACACATCTACTTGTAGATTGAATTGTGAATGGAATGGGCTCATGGGGCAAATTGTCTTGTGGTACAACATGGCAATATATGGGTCACATGGATAAAACCCTAATAATATTATAGAGTGTAAAGTAACTGTGGAACTAAGCATTCCATAGCCTTTCCTCATCTGACATATTTTAACAGAAAGCGTGGATGATTCTGTGTGTATGTGTGCTTGTGAGAGAGAAAGAGTACGAAATTGGGAGGGTTGACACAAGGTGGAACTACAAAGAGAGGATAAAGTAGAGTACCTGCTCTGGATTATTTGACCAGATTAAGAGATTACAGTGAAATTAAGCGAGACAGACTGAGTGGAGCAGGAATGCTAAGGAGTAGGTAGCACTAGAACTGCTCGCTCCATTGTCTCACAATGTCAAAAACAACAACTATTGGTAGGCTACATGCAGCATGCATGTTTAGCATGGAGTCAATTTACTTTGTTCAATCAATCCTATATACCTCAACATGTATTATACAGTACATCTATCAAACAAAACGTAGTATTACTGTCAGTCTTGATGATGACATTACTGAGGAACCACTTCAACCAAAATTAATGAGAATGTATTGATATGCAATACTGACTGAGAGACGAATAGGCCCTAAAAGTCAACCCAATCGTTAATTTGAGTGAACAGATGCTAGTGTTCTAAAAGTGTTGCTATGACGTCGTAGCAGGATCAGTCACATTGGCACAATGTCACAGCAAAGGCGAGGTGCCTGGGTTCAGCAGCGCTCGCTCAGATCCACAGATTCCTCAACTGATGGATGGGCTTTTCTCATTATGTGTACCTAATCAAGTCAGCAGTACATTCAGGGCATCTGTGCAACAGCACATTGACCACCATGCTACAGCAAATTCATAAATGCTCTTGCACATGCTCAATTGTAGATGTTTAAAGTTATAGTACAGCCTCCAACTCCAGGGTTGGTTGGTCTGTTTAACACTCTCCTTTTTAAAGCAATGTAATGGCAGAGAATCCTACCAAAATTAAAATAAATCAAACAAATGACCGTTATCACCAAAACAGCCCTACAGACATTCTGGTCAATGTAATCAGAAATGTTGGAGTCAGCCTTCAAACTGAGATGCACTGTCACAGCACTAACAAGCCATGTACAAACTGATTAAGTTGGTAAGAGATTTTTGAATAAAAGTTTTAAAAAACATAGAAACAAAACAAACTCTCTCTATTTGTCCTTCTCCACAGTACCATAAGCATCTCGTCTTCACAAGAAAAACACAAACCAGTGCAAATCAATACAAAATAAAAGAACAGCATCTATTTACAACATGTGTGCACTGTAAGAACAATGTATATTCATTTTATGGAAGACTGATCCAATTTATAACTATGATGTGCAATTCAAGTGTTTATGACAAAAGAGTCCTGTTTAATGTAAAGAATGTGTATGATTTGTTACTAATGAATATTGCATATGCAACTTCCCGACCTACAGTATATTTTTCTTGCAAATAGAATTTTGTCATACAAAGACATACAGTACACACACATGCAAACATACACATAATCAAAGTTGTTGACCTCTATAACTCCCCATGTTGGAGATGCTATCTTCTTATAGCTCACATTTTATTCACACAATGGCTGTGGGGGGGGGGGGGGGGCTAAACTGGATGATTACTGCAGAGTGCAGTGTGGTCCCTCCTGGTGGCCAGTGGTTTAACATAACCTCATTTATAATTCCCACATAACAGAGCAGAGAGCTGGGACGTGAAGCCTCCTGCCCTCTTAGCACACTAAAGACAATACACACATGCAAAATGACTCCGTCTCTGCATTCATCCACCAAAATGTTTTTTTCATGATACGTTTTAGCTGTTGGACTATTCAAGTGCAACAAAATAGACATACTGATATAAGGATATGATATATAAATAGATATACACGTTTTGTATTGTATTTTGTGTATATTCGTACATAAAGGGGCACTCTAGAGGCAGGCAGCAAGGAAGGAGTCACAGTAAACTGGTAAGAGGTGTTGCTTCCATCTTGCAAACTTTGAAATCATATGTGTTTCTGTCCTCTATATCACCTAGTTAGTCATGCAGTGTAAATAGACTTCAAGTCAAACTAATTTACAGAAAAGAATCAGTCCCAAAGCTCACACACAGAAACAGAGACAGAATTACCACCCTTTTTACTGCACCATTCTGACAGCATCACTCCACTGGACATACAATGCCCGACATCTAGGGTAAATGGTGCAGTAAATGGAAGTTATAAACATATTCTATTCGTCAAACAGAGGGTGTTAATTCTGTTATCTGTTTCTGTATGTGTGTGTGTACCTGTGCACAGAATGTGGGTGGGAATGTTTGTGAAAGAAAGAGAATGTAAATCTAGTTTCTAGTGTTGATCCTCAGTTTGAAAGACACTTTTCCAGCAAACTTGTCTCTTTCACTCCCAGGAGGAATGTTGTTGGAGATGATCCTGCACTCGATATTGATGTCTTCATTGAGGGTGATGTTGAGGAACTTGATGGCAACCAGAGGCTGGGAGTAGTTCACCTGAAACAAGACAATAGTTCAATTTTTAAGATATTGTTACATAAGCTATCAGCATTCTTTTTCAGCAACATTTTATCTAAAATGTATTGAAAGCACAGGCAGATTAATGCGTAATAACAATGTAATAACATTGGATCACTAAGATTTTTTATTCTAACCATAAAAATAGGTTTATAAGTGATGCTTCCTGAGTGTTGCCAGGTTGGTATCAGGAGATTCTCACCTGAGCTTTCTTGCCATAGTAAGGGTAGTACATGAGGTTGAAGGTGCCATTTTCAGGGTAGTACGCCACCTCTCCAATCTTATCAGAGTCTTCTTTCTGCAGGGGCAGAGGATCAAGGTCATTAGTTAGAGCATGTTCTGTCTGAAGTGTGTGGGCGAGCAGGGAAGGTCTGCCCAATCTGAAGGAGTGGGCGAGCAGGGAAGGTCTGCCCAATCTGAAGGAGTGGACGGGCAGGGAAGGTCTGCCCAATCTGAAGGAGTGGACGAGCAGGGAAGGTCTGCCCAATCTGAAGGAGTGGACGAGCAGGGAAGGTCTGCCCAATCTGAAGGAGTGGACGAGCAGGGAAGGTCTGCCCAATCTGAAGGAGTGGACGAGCAGGGAAGGTCTGCCCAATCTGAAGGAGTGGGCGGGCAGGGAAGGTCTGCCCAATCTGAAGGAGTGGACGAGCAGGGAAGGTCTGCCCAATCTGAAGGAGTGGACGAGCAGGGAAGGTCTGCCCAATCTGAAGGAGTGGACGAGCAGGGAAGGTCTGCCCAATCTGAAGGAGTGGACGGGCAGGGAAGGTCTGCCCAATCTGAAGGAGTGGACGAGCAGGGAAGGTCTGCCCAATCTGAAGGAGTGGACGAGCAGGGAAGGTCTGCCCAATCTGAAGGAGTGGACGAGCAGGGAAGGTCTGCCCAATCTGAAGGAGTGGACGGGCAGGGAAGGTCTGCCCAATCTGAAGGAGTGGACGAGCAGGGAAGGTCTGCCCAATCTGAAGGAGTGGACGGGCAGGGAAGGTCTGCCCAATCTGAAGGAGTGGACGAGCAGGGAAGGTCTGCCCAATCTGAAGGAGTGGACGGGCAGGGAAGGTCTGCCCAATCTGAAGGAGTGGACGAGCAGGGAAGGTCTGCCCAATCTGAAGGAGTGGACGGGCAGGGAAGGTCTGCCCAATCTGAAGGAGTGGACGGGCAGGGAAGGTCTGCCCAATCTGAAGGAGTGGACGGGCAGGGAAGGTCTGCCCAATCTGAAGGAGTGGACGGGCAGGGAAGGTCTGCCCAATCTGAAGGAGTGGACGGGCAGGGAAGGTCTGCCCAATCTGAAGGAGTGGACGAGCAGGGAAGGTCTGCCCAATCTGAAGGAGTGGACGAGCAGGGAAGGTCTGCCCAATCTGAAGGAGTGGACGAGCAGGGAAGGTCTGCCCAATCTGAAGGAGTGGACGAGCTTTGAAAGGACACCATGACAATTAGAGTAGAAATGTATCTTTGCATTTACTGCATGTCTATCTACATACTGTACTTGTGGACTTGCAATAGTAAACTACTATTTATTTACATTTATTTTAGACATTGAGTCTACCTGTACATGCTATGCAACAAAGTTATTGTATCTCTCTAGCTTGGAATATAAAAAGATGAGGGTACCAGTGTATCACTAGCAACTATACACTACATATCTACTCTCTATCTGTCACTAAGATCACTACAGTGGCACCCTTACCCATTCATCTTTGCCAACTTTGTACCTCTGAGAGTGGAAGGACAGAATGGATGGTAACAGAAAAGAAGAGAACAACGTTATGAAAGGATGAAATGACATTGTTCACGCCACACAGACAAGCAAAGAAAAACACAGATATAAAGGAAGGTAATGGGTGACATAGATGAGAACAAGAGACATGATGGGTTCATTCTGAGAGGGGACGTAAGGGGGGACGGACGGACTGAAAGAGCGAGAGAGAGGCTCACCTTCGCTCCACAAGTGACAAATGGAGCCTGGCCATCCTTTCCTGGCAACATCCCAATGACCTAGAGGGACAGACAGACCTGTGTTAACCTGGCAGTTCCACCACCATCCCCACTTCATCCCTCCTTAAAGCGGATCCATTCAACTGAGCACTGTTGTGATTTTGAAGTCGATCAAACAATTTCAAAACTTTTCCAATGTTGTTTGTACTTAAATTGTATGGTCGCTTCCAGGCTCCCAACAATTTCCTGCTCCATTCCCCTCTCCCTTACATCACCAAGCAACACCCCAAGTTCCTCCCTCCCCAGCCCCCCTCCCCTCTCTGCTTCTCCCATACCCGGTTCAACTTGATGATGATGCATGGCTTGCCAGCCTGGTATCCATAGGTACGGTCATCGAGGCCAGAGCATTCTTGTAGAAGGGTTCGGTTGAACTGGCAGGAGCGCTTGGGGTTGTTCTTCACATCACCACTGTCTGCCTGAATAAAATACTGGTCCGGTGTGCACTCGTCATTCTTCTCAGCCTGCAGAGAGATGTTGTAGGCTGGATGGGAGAGAAATACAGTTTAACATGTTGTTTTCCCCATGACATTACGTGAGAGAGACAGACAGACAGACCGAGAGGCAGAGACAAGCTGACAGACAGACAGACTCACGGGAGAGGAAGTTGTCCAGGGTCTTGGCATACATGTCCCAGCTCTCAGTGTTGTGGGTGTTGTAGATGATCTCCATGGCCTCTCCCCTGGGTCTGATCATCATGCCTGGTGAAAAGAGAGAAAGAAGATGGGGGGGTTTAGCCTTCATCATATGTATACAATACTATGTGTGATTGTTTGGGGTGTTCACGACTATATAGTAGTGGTTGTCTAAATGTTAGTTTGTAATGTGAGGTTTAACTTGATCAAAACCTCAATGTGGTATTAGTGTATAATACCTGGTGTACCAAGCCTGTCTTGCCAGGTGGGTTTGTGGTCATCCAAGGTCTGCAGCATGACGTACATGGTGAGGCAGAACATGCCTGCTAGGAAGATGTAGAACACTAGGTAGAAGAGTAGGATGAGGCCTGAGGAGGGAGACACAACCAGCACACAGATACAGCATTAACATCATACAAGATCAAAGGAAACGCAACATTCAACGAAATATGGCTATGTCCAAAATGGCACCCTATTAACTATACAGTGGGGCCATTTCAGATTATGGCCCTTCCATATTCCCCACTTATATGGAATAGGGTGCCATTTAAGATATTGCCCTATGTAAAAACAAAGCCTGAAAAGCTGAATAGTGAAAAGGTCATGTAGAGTAGGTGTTATATTGTCTAAGATCCAAGACAACACTTTATTTGGCCACTCTCTCTGTATTTATCGCACCATGCCACTCTCTCTGTCGTTATCACACTATACCGTACCAACGATTAAACGTAAAAAGACACAGGAGCTGAGGAGTAATCCTCTTTACCGCAAACCAGAAGCCTCTACTTCCTTCTATACTATCTCTCTCTCTCTCTCTCTCCTGCTCTCTCTCTCTCTCTCCCGCTCTCTCAATTCAATTCAATTTAAGGGGCTTTATTGTCTCTCTCTCTCTCTCTCTCTCTCAAACATACACATTTCTATTAATATAAATATAAAAATGTGTTTAATGGATATTGACTATCTATCTATTAATGGAAACATTAATTGGACATGCACACTTCTCCATAGATGTCTGCAATCACACTACCTACCACACACAACCTGCACACAAACACACACGCCCTTCCCCCAGTCTTAAACAGGGCTGATTAATATAGGGTTGAATGTCTGGTCTTTGATCAAATTAATTATCAAGTAACACCAACAATGGGGGAGAGAGCCGAGAAGAAGGGGAGGGTGAAAGAGAGGGAGGAAGGAGTGGTGACAGAAGGGAAGAGGGGAGGAGGAGAGAAGCCCCCTGGAGATGAGGTCAGGGGGTCAGGGGATTTGGAGACATGTACAGTATCCCACTTACACAAACAGTATAGAGACCATACCGACACTGTAACATATCAGTATAGCCAGGGCCCAAAGTGAAAGGCTATTGTTTAAACCATTCTGTTGGATTGACAACATAAAATCACCTCAGCTGTTACAAACATTAGACCTTCTCGGTGAGTGAGAGTGAATGTGTGAGTGTGACTCTGCCAGTCCCCAGGGTGGGGGATCTACGTTGAAATGTAACCTCATAGAGAGGAGCGTAAGAAGAAAGGAGAGGAGTGCAGAGCGGCATCCTGTGGGGTGCTCTGGCACACTGTGTACGAAGGAAAAACCCTGCTGAGTCATCACAGATCGTGTACAGGCCCTGGATCTAACCCTGGCTCTGGTCTAACCAATACAGTGAGGGACTACCATCAGGGAGGAGATTATTTATTTGACTTTATGGGGCGTCATGGTGACCAGATCCCCCCCCCCCCTTTTGGGGAGACAGACTGAGTGTTGTGTACAGACCCAGAGAGAGGGTCAAGAGGAGTGTAGAGAGGGTCACCTTTCGCCTGGCCACACCAGGAGGGTGTCCAGTTTACTGACCTCTCATCACCATGCCCTTTCACTCTTCCTCCGCCTCACTTTTTTCATCCCCCCATCACAGAGAGAGTTGAAAGCAAATGATAAAATGACGGGACAGAATAGGCCGGCAGCGTCCTGTGCTTTCCCTCCTACAATGGCAACATGGACGTCTTTTAAAAGGGGATAGTATTCAAACATCAATGAATACTATGAATGCTGTTTTGAATCTGGGTTATCAAACAGAGGCTTTGAATGGAAAATATGGTAAGCATAAAAGAATATGTATGCGCTGTGGCCGTTTTAATATTCATGTACTGTTGAAATTGCCAAGGGATCTAAGAACTATTTCCATAATTGTGTAACACACACACACACACACACACACACACACTTGCATATCCACAAGGAACAGTAGTGCCGCCCTGATTGGGCTGAATTTCTACCCCAGCTAATTTCAGCAGTGTGCGCTATCAGTGAAAAAGTTGCAATTCCATTAACTAGGGTCCTTTGTGCATGAGATTGGTGTGGTTCCTCTATAGGGCTCTTTGTTCTGTGGGCTGTGGAGGAGGTCAGGGCTGATTAAAGGACAGATGCATGCAGACTAGACGTACCATCTTAATTTGATCACCATGTTGTAGGAGAAATGTAAAACTTGGAGTGTATTTGAGGTTTAAAAAGGCTTCTGAAGTTTGTAATTTCCACTTTTACATTTCAGGCATGATTTCCCGTTATGGAAAATGTATCAACCCTACAAAAATGTCCATTAATTATCCACATAATAATTCACATTTCCTGTTGCTGCAGGATTATTTTCCTGCTGTAGAAAACTGGCTCTAATTATGATCCTACATGTGTAGCACCTGGATACCTGGATCACCTAGGCCCAGCCAGGTAATGAGGTATGTACTAAGTTAATGGACCAAGTATAGGCTATACACATTTAGGCTCACTACAGAAATAGCCTAACTAACTAGCCTTAGAGAGCGCAGCTTAACCAGGCCACCAGTCCTCAAAGCACCTGGGATGCACTGAGCTGGATGAAGGAGTGCATTCTGGGAGAATAGCTGCAAAGGAAACTATAGTCAGTGATCACCCCACTCAGTAGGCCTACCACTTACATTTCTCTCCATTATAGTAGAAAGGGCACTATAGCGTTCCTTGTGGAAATGTGAAATGCAAGGGGTGTGTAGGGGTGTGTGTGTGTGTGTGTGTGTGTGTGTGTGTGTGTGCGCAGGGCCCCCCTACCTCGCGGGCAAAATATTTTAGTGGCCCTCCTCTTTACAGAAGTTTAGCAATTTTATATAATTCTACTCATTTTGCCATGAGGCACAGAGAACATTTTTGCAGTTTTCTGCTATTCTACAAATTTTTCCAAGACTTATGCCATGTTAATGATATCTGAGTGAGAGTGACTAACAAGATCAATGGGGGCCCCGTGGAGGTCAGGGCCCCTGGGCACATGCACTGCATGCCCGGTCGGTATTCGGCCATGATTACTACAAGTTTAGATAGCTGGCTAGACTAATTTACCAATCTATAAATTGTTAGCTGACATGGCTAATTTAGTGTCAGTGACTGATATAGCAAGAGAAAAACTGCTGATGCACAACCAAATTTCTAAATTGCACCTTGTGTATTCTACTATTTTAACTCTCAACAGTAAGTTGAGGCCACGACTTAGTTCTTAAAAACATAAATAATAATTATATTTTTGTTGTTGTCTTTTTTGGGGGGGGTCAGGGGTCCCCTAGTGGCTGGGGACCCTAAGTGACCGCTTGTCTCGCTTATGCCTGGAGCCGGCCCTGTGTGTGTTTGTGTGTGTGTGTGTGTGTGTGTGTGTGTGTGTGTGTGTGTGTGTGCATAGGTTAGGCTGGGTCGGTATACTGTATACCGGGGTATTTGGAAAATGCCACAGCATAGTTTTTCAATACCGTCAACTATTTATTTTAAGATAATACATTTGAATATTTGTAGCTACTTTTTAAGTTCATACTTGCAGTCAACTTGTGCAATACATTAGGAGATAAAGCAGATTGCATTCTTCATTTCACCTGTCACATTATTTTACATGATGAAGCTTACCATAGTTCCCCAGAACAGTGGAGCCAGTCACGTGTTTGTTTGTAAATAGCACAACGGGAGAAAGCTGGAGCTGGTGAGTCCATAGCATTCTATATCTATCGGTGAGTCTCTGTTGTGCGGTGCACATGAGGTGATTAAGTTACACTAGTATGCAATTCAATACTAAATGTTTGCCATCAGATATCTTAGAACGGCTGTCTGCCGTGTTTGAGAAGTCAAAGAGCTCTTGGTGTACAACTGCCATTTCTTCCCTGTGCGTCCTACTAGCGTTTTTTCTTCTTCTCCTCTGTTCTTCTCCCATCTGCTCCATGTACACATGCTGCTCTTTCTTCAGAAACGCATGCATCACAACTTTGTTCATTTGCACAATTTCTCTCATTCACTTTCGCTTGTACAGTGCATTTGGAAAGTATTCAGACCCCTTGACATTTTTGTTACGTTACAGTCTTATTCTAAAATTGATTAAATCGTTTTTTCCCCTCATCAATCTACACAATACCCCATAATGACAAAGCAAAAACAGGTTGTTAGAAATGTTTGCACATTTATTACAAATAAAAAACTGAAACCGCAATTCATTACATAAGTATTCAGACCCTTTCCTCAGTACTTTGTTGACGCACCTTTGGCAGCGATTACAGCCTCCAGTCTTCTTGGGTATGATGCTACAAGCTTGGCACACCTGTATTTGGGGATTTTCTCCCATTCTTCTCTGCAGATCCTCTCAAGATATGTCAGGTTGGATGGGGAGTGTCACTGCACAGCTATTTTCAGGTCTCTCCAGAGATGTTCGATCGGGTTCAAGTTCGGGCTCTGGCGGGGCCACTCAAGGACATTCAGAGACTTGTCCCGAAGCCACTCCTGCGTTGTCTTGGCTGTGTGCTTAGGGTCGTTGTCCTGTTGGAAGGTGAACCTTCGCCACAGTCTGAGGTCCTGAGCGCTCTAGAGCAGGTTTTCATCAAGGATCTCTCTGTACTTTGCTCTGTTCATCTTTCCTTTGATCCTGACTAGTCTCCCAGTCCCTGATGCTGAAAAACATCCCCACAGCATGATGCTGCCACCACCATGCTTCACCGTAGGGATGGTGCCAGGTTTCCTCCAGATGTGACTCTTGGCATTCAGGCCAAAGAGTTCAATCTTGATTTCATCAGACCAGAGAGTCTTGTTTCTCATGGTCTTAGAGTCCTTTAGGTGCCTTTTGGCAAACTCCAAGCGGGCTGTCATGTGCCTTTTCCTGAGGAGTGGCTTCCGTCTGGCCACTCTACCATAAAGGCCTGATTGGTGGAGTGCTAAAGAGAGGTTGTCCTTCTGGAAGGTTCTCCCATCTCCACAGAGGAACTCTGGAGCTCTGTCAGAGTGACCATCGGGTTCTTGGTCACCTCCCTGACCAAGGCCCTTCTCCCCCGATTGCTCAGTTTGGCCGGGCAGCCAGCTCTAGGAAGAGGTGGTTCCAAACTTCTTCCATTTAAGAATGATGGAGGCCACTGTGTTCTTGTGGACCTTCAATGCTGCAGACATGTTTTGGTACCCTTCCCCAGATCTGTGCCTCGACACAATCCTGTCTCGGAGCTCTACGGACCATTCCTTTGACCTCACGGCTCGGTTTTTGCTCTGACATACACTGTCAACTGTGGGACCTTATATAGACAGGTGTGCCTTTCACAATCATGTCCAATCAATTGAATTTACCACAGGTGGACACCAATCAAGTTGTAGAAACATCTCAAGGATGATCAATGGAAACAGGATGCACCTGAGATCAATTTTGAGTCTCATAGCAAAGGGTCTGAATACTTATGTAAATAAGGTATGTGCAAAAAAAATCTAAAAACCTGTTTTCGCTTTGTCATTATGGGGTATTGTGTGTAGATTGATAAGAAAAATAAATAATGTAATCCATTTTAGAATAAGGCTGTAACGTAACAAAATGTGGAAAAAGTCAAGGGCTCTGAATAATTTCCGAATGCACTGTATATGTCCACACTCACTGAAAATTAGATTCGGTAGCTATAAGCTATGCTTGTATAACTTTATGACCTGGATTTGTCTGTCTTTGTAATTAGTTTATGTTCGTTTTAGCTCGTTAGCATTTAGCTAACAGCGTCTATGTGATTTCACTATTACTTGTGTTAATTTTGGTAGCATTCTGGTAATAGATGCCCAATGGGCTTTTATTCTGCATTTTTAGCGCTCCCTTGTGTGTTATGCTGGTAATACCGTAAATCCTGGGATGGCAAAAGGACAGTATGGTGGTATGAAAATCTGGATACCGCCCAAACCTAGCATAGGCGCCTGAGTAATGGAGCAAATGCAGCCGCTGCACCCCCACTTTCAAAATAGGGGCGCAAAGTATGTTTTAGCACCCCCACTTTTTTTTTTACCAGAAAAGTATAATGATCCATTGGGTAATTTGTCATTTTTCAATGATTAGTAATGTTTTGAGCTAGTTTGTATTAAAATAGATATGTCCATTTTATTTATAATAATTAACAGATTGCATTTTGCACCACCTCCCCCGTTGCCTCAAGATGAATGGTTTTTCCCACTGGAAAGTTTTGCTTCCCTACTGAGCGCCATTGTTTTGACTCAGTGCAGTTAGAAAGCACTAGTTGCACAACTGGTGTTTAAAATGAAAAGGCACCTGCAAAAGAAATGTTTTATGTATTTTGTTGTGCTGTTACATTTGTATCATTGTTTCATGACCTATGCACTCAGGGTGTTGCTACATTGCATTTGAGAGACGTGTTACCACAAGCAAATTTTGTAATTTCACTTTGTCTGTAAGAACCATGATGAGCACGGGCATGTCTGATTAGGCTTTTTTGTATCGCAGCCTCTGGGACAATCTCAATTGATCGCGTCCTCTCTCCTCACCTCAGAGGAGATCTTGCTTTCTCATCCAATTGGTTTTGAGAAGGAGAGAGGACACGAGGAGAATGCAATTGAGATTCT